AAGAGATTGTCCAACAAGATGCCCCCCTGCCACTACGACTGCCCCCGCGACAACGACATCTTCTTGGCCACGCACCGCAGGAGGATGATTGGAGACCACGTCAGGGCAGAGAGGCAGTAGCCCCCCTCGGCCTAGGGCCCCAGGGGGCCCTGGGGCTCCGCAGCGCCGCGTGGCCGTCCCGGACCCCTCCGAGGGGCTGAGCTCTGCTTGGCCAGGGCTCTCGGTGGCCTTGTCGCTGCGCCGAGGCGCAGGGCGGCCGCGGGGACACAGGAGGGGGCTGCTGAGGTGCTTGGACACCCGCGCACCAGGCGGGGAGGTGACCAGGAACAGGCCTGAGCTCCGGGCTTCATCCATGTCCCCAGCGGCTTTGGGGGAGGGTGGATGGAACTGGGTGGCTCCAGCCTGTCTCCGAAGTGGGACAACTGCCCAGGACCACCAGGACCAGGCAGCCGAGCCGGGCCATGAGCCCAAGGGGAGCACCGGGAGGCCGGAGCTGCTGTCGAGCTTCTCGGCCCCTTTTCTGGCAGACTGGGGCCACGACGTGCGGGTTGGTGCAAACGACCTGGCAAGGAGAGCCCAGCACTGCGCTCACACGGAGCCTTGCCATGATATTCGGCTAATTTGATCCGACAAGCTGGCAAATCCTCCATCCCTTTGGCCACCCTTCTCCCTTCCACACACCCTTCCAGCAGCAGCTTTGCTTTTCTCCAGATCCATTTGCTCCTGGAGAGCAAAGACACGGCGACAAGGACGGGGCAGGTTGTGCAGTGTCACCGCAGGCAGCCTTAGCTGGGCTCGTGGACTCACTCGGAGGAGCTGGGCCTGGGCAGGACTTTCCTTGTCGGAGAAGGGATGCGGCCGGGCTCGAGCTTTGCTGCCTCCTGTGCTCCCAGGTCAGTTCTCAGGCCTGGGGTTTCGGCCCAAGGAGCAATTCTGGCCTAAACTTAGGGTGAATCGGGCTGCCAGGTTGAGACACGTCCCCATGGGTCCCAATCGTGTCACTGGTTGGTGGCAGCAGCAACTCCAAAGGGGGACAGCGAGAAATGAGCGGTGCGAAGCAGCTCCCGGGCAGCAGGAGGGACAAGAAGGGGGTCAGCGATGGAGGACCACGAGCCGCCCCCAGCGCCCCGGCGGCACCGGAGCCTCTGCCGCTGCCCTCTGCATCCGGCCCCGCGGGCCCGCCGCCGGGAACCAGCCCCTCTCCTCCTGCTCTCGGCCTGCAGATGCTCGGGAGCCTTTGACCCCTGTTACTTGTAATCAGTTTGAACTGTAAATAACTTATCTCTTGGTTCCTGATTGTTTTTAAAAGGCCTTTGTATAATTTTATATCTTTTTACCACCTCCCTGCTTGGGGGCAGTTCACGATACAGATTTTTATTTCATTTCCTTGCCCTCTCCATCTTCTCTGGACTCTTTTTCTTGCCCTTTACCCGTCTTGGGTGTGTAAAGCGAAGCTGAGGGTCACACTCACTACTGATAAATCCCTCTATTTTTTTCTATCCCTGCTGCATTGGGGGGGGCAGATGTGCAGCAGCTGGGGGCTCCGTGCTGGTTCTAGAGGTGCCGCATGCAGGGAGCGCAGGGGACGTTGCTGTCCCCTCCTAGCCTGACGTACGGAGCCGCGCGACCCTCCTTCCTCCAAACCCCTTTTCCTTTCCGACGTCTCCGGGGCTGGGAGCGATGCCCTGTGCCCCCGGCCGGGCGCAGAGCGGAGGGCGGCTGCGGGGGATCTTGACCCCTCCACGTGCCCCGGGGCCGGTGTCACGGTGTCCTCGGGCCCCTCACCCCCCTGTCACTCCTGCTCCGGGGGTGGCACTTGGCACCTGCCCTTGGCCACCTCTGCCTCCTTAAGAACCCCCCACGTCCTTAATACCCGGTTAAAAATAACCCGGCGAGCAGCTGTGAGCAGAAATGGGTGAGAATGAGGCCAGAACGCCGAGGGCTTAAGAGCTTACGGCGTCAGCACCATGGCGGGCCCTGCCAGCACCCTGGGGACAGCGCAGGACTGTGACAGGGGCTCTGCACGGGGAGCACCTGGCCCGTGTCCCCGGCAGGGTCCCCGCGAGAGGGCGGTAGCAGCGACACCTCCCAGG